CCCTCCCGCAGGCCCCTCTCCAGCAGCCCTCGTGCGGCGCTGCGCCGGTCTCGGGCTCGCCCCGGCCATGGGCCGCCTCGCCTGGGCCTGCCGCAGGCACGCAGCCCCTGGACTAGAAGGAGATTTGCTGGCGGCGTGGATTGCAATTTTGAAATCTTTCCTCCTCCTCATTTTGCAGATGAGAAACTGAAGTAGTGCCTGACTTTGCACAGAAATTCGGGGTAAAGCTGGGACTGCAGTCCACGCCAGACTGAGAGCTAGGCTTCAAGCTAAACCACGTTCCTCCTCCTGCAGTGCATCCACACCATACCTAGAACATGTATCAGATTAACACTTAGCAAAATGCAGCAAATAAACATAGCGTGTCCTTTTTAATCTCTACTAAAGACGACTGTTTCTGGTGTTCGGTAGGCAGTCCTCACTGAATAAAGTGTAATTAGAACAAAATAGTCTCTTTCCTTTAAATGATAAAGTAACACAAACACAAACAGCACAACTTTGAGAGCAGCTTCCAGGTCATGCACCGTGTTAAAGCATGTTCTGCGATGGACAGACACGCACATATACACGCTGGCTGTAAAAAAAGAAAATCTAAATCAAATCTGCTCTGACATTGAGTCAGATATATATATATATATATCTGTCAAAAATATATATATTGGATTTGAATCAGTTGACAGGTACATTTATTTGTAGGCGTTCTGAAGTTAGTTTTAAGCATGATCTTCTCTCTCTTTAGACCTAACTCATTAATTCAGGTCTTAGCTGCAAAGGTTTTAAACATGCTTAGTTAGGCAGGGCACTAGAGCGGGTCCCTACGACCAGTATAGGACACCTTGCTCAGACAGAAAACATCAGCAAGTTTCAAAAGTTGCTATATATACAAAGGTTGTTATATGTACGTTCACATACAAACATACATATATTGTGTGGGTCGTGGAGCGACCGGAGCTTCTTCCCCTTGCGTTTGAGCACGTGCTGAAACGCTTTGCCAAGCAGGCGAGAACTCAAGAGTAAGTTTAAAAGCTTTGCTGAATCAAGGCCCTTGTTGCCAGACGGACCTCTGCACTCGGAGCGCGTTGCAGGGGGCTGGCCCCGGCGCGAGGCGCGAGACGAGCGCGGGCTCGGGGTGCAGGCTTTCCGTGGCCGGGATCACGCGCAGGAATGGACAGCAGCCGGAGGAGCCCCCTCGCAAGGCGCTGGCCCCCTGCTCGGGCCCAGGAAGATTTGGACCAGGGAAGGGGTTCAGCTTCGCGTGGATTCTCCCAGACGTTCTCTCCCTCCTTTATCAGGTGTTTGGGGGAGGGTTACTGGTACTAGCAGGAGGGAAGAGACAAGTGGGAGAAGAAGGAATTTTTTCAAAGTGCCCTAATTAACTTGGTGGCCTTGGCAGTGCCCTGGCCACGTCCAGCTGCTGCCCAGGAGCAGCTGGGGCCATCCCAGGACTTCCTTGCCCAGGCTCCAGCCTGGGGATGGGTCTTCCTAGACAACCCTTCCTGAGGTGGCAGAGCTACAGCAAAGGGATGAAATGAACTCCTATTTTAAATGCTCAAACAAAGAACGCTAATTTAGATTTAAAAGATGAGTCTCAGCATTGCAGAGTCAGCAAATCCGGGTGCATCGAGGTCCCCAGCGCAGTGTTGCACAAGCCCCTAGACCTAGCGGCACACAGGGCGGAGGACCCCGAGCTGCAGCTGGTCGGTGCAGCAGCCAAACAGCTGGTACTTGCCCGTCAGCAGCTGGGTGGAAAAGGAAGTGTTGGAGAAGTTGAGATGAAAAGTCATTAAAAAGGGTCCTGTAACGTCGGAAGGACCATGTGCTGCCAGGGCCCATGGAAACGCTGGGTGGCATCTGCTGTGCAGTGTCTTCATGCTTCATGGAAACCGGGACAGGGAGAGGCCACAGGAGCCCACAGCTCGCATCTTTATAAAGCCTCCCAAGCAAAACCTGGCCCCGGGCCCCATCGCGGAGGGCAAGCACCAGGAGACGCTCCTTGCGGCCGGGGAGAGGGGAGCGGTGTGAATCCCAGAAGAGATGGCGCGGGGCTGCGGGGCTCACAGCCCGGGGCAGCCCGCGTCGCCGGGGAACGCCAGGCCTTGCTG